TAACTCTTCTAATATATATACATATTTTTGTAAGAGTTTCAGTACATTTCTTTTATATTTGGTAACATCCTTCACAAATATTTAGCATTGCCTCCAGTTATATGCAGAGTTAATCTTGAATGACCAAATCTATAAAGCAGCCAAATTGTATGGGAATTGGTCAAGAGGATTTTACTTATTTGTTTGTTCATTTCTTTGTTTTTATCTGCCCGATATTATTAAACATTTCAATTGAAGTTCTTTTTTTGTTAATATAAATCTAGAATTAAGGATCAATTAAAACAGAAAAGGTTCTCACACTTCAAACTTCGAACAGCAAGAAAGGTGAAATATAAAGCTTTATACTAAAGAGTGTTTGACAACATAAACCAAAATTATATTAAGCCAAATGGAATAGATTGTCTCTACAATGTAGAAAAAAATGTATGCACCAGATTTATAGTAATAAAAAGTGGAAGCAGAATCCTCTTTCATCATTCAAATGGTAAGAGGGAGCCTGTGTTAGGAACAAATACATGTGGAATATTTTACAGAGAACAAAAATGCCTCAAGATGCATTGCAGAAAAAGCATGACATGATTACAGAATGGCCGTATCTGTATAGTATTTTTTTTTTTCAGTCAGCTATTATTGTTTGCTTTCAAATCCTGGCAATATCAATATTTTCCAGTTTGATTGGTGACTGGTCTGAACTTATCCTACTTGCTTTTAGGAACAAAGACAAGAGAATGGCTACCTCTATTCATCTATTATTGTTTAAATAGCTGTCACAGCTTCCAGGATGTCTGTTTCCACGTTATCTGGTGAAAGAATAAAATAGAATGGCAACAAACCAAATACAGTGAAATATGTTTGTTATATTTGGCCCAAACCAGCTGCTGTTTACAGATAAAATCTGGTTTGAACAAAACCAGGTGAATTTTGGAAATTGAGGAACAATGGATGGAGTGGTCTGTAGCATTTACAAATATTTTAGAGATACATGTTGCATTCAGACTTGCCTATTATGGTGATTTAGTTCATATGTCAAGACACATATTCATCTCTGCCCAGATACTGTAGAGGCTTGGGTAACAGCTTGTCCTATCCTTGTTTATTTGTTAATTTATAACATCTCAGTTCCCAGCACAAACCAAGGCAGGCCTGGACACTTCTTTGTTCTGCTTTGTTCTTTCTTTCCCCCCCACCCCTCTTTCTTTTCATTGTTATGCTCCCCACTCTGACAATGGAGTTATAGATTGACCCTATTTCCCCTCTTGCCCTGACTTCTCTTCTAACACTTCCTTTGATGTGTTTAGACTGAAAATACCAAATCTCTGTTTCCCAGCAAGGGCTCATCATTTTGCAGCATTGCTCTGCTAGTAGTGTAAGAGGAACATTAGTAGTGCCTTTACAGCAGTTTAAAAGATGTTAGGCTAATGATTACTTGGAAACAAAAGCTATCTCATGCTTTAGAGGAAAGAGGACTTGTGCAGGAATTTATTTTTAAATGTTTTAAAGGCAAGAGTTCATATTATTTTGCTAAGATATGTGGTTATGTTTTAATTGGCTGTGTTTACAATGTGGTTTTTCTTAAAAATGCATTTTTTTAAGATTCCCTCAATCATCGCTTATCTCACATCCACAAATATCTACGCTTCCTGTGTATAATATGTACATTTGCTCTGTTTCAAACATACTCACACTCAAAGTTTATTTCACATGGGACATCAAGAAAACAAAGTCACATTAGTCTGACTTTTTTTTCTGAGTTGATATTTCATTAAAATAAGTTCAGAGTAAGTTCATCTCTCTAGTCCTACCCTTCAGTGTAAATTTGTTTCTGTTATTTATTATAACATAATGGTTTGGGTGTTACTTTGAATTCATATCATTCTAATAGTTTTTGAGTTTCTTTGCCTATTGCAGAGCCATGCCACACATTGTTAAAAAATCTTCCCAAACTTTATATGTTGAGCGTGCACAAAATACAGCAAGCATAATGTTAAATAAATTGTAAAGTAGTAATACATTAAAAAAATTGATCCCTTGCTTAAATTCTATTACAAGATCTGTGTTAGGAGCTTTCTGTATCTCAGCAATTGCATGGAAGAGCAGTTTTTGAGTTAATTAAGGCTTACAGAAATTTTAAGTGGGTCAGTTTTATCTAGTATATCTTAAAATAGTTCGACAATTTGAGACCTAAAATATCAGTAAGATTCCAAGTAGTCTTAGAAAGTAGGAGGTCATTGATCCATTTTCCTGGCAAACCTAGAGGAAAATTATGTCTTTTCAGTCTCCTTTCTCATTTAAATGAATCAACTTTACCATGCATATTAGTGATTCGACTCTTTCCTGTTGTATCATGCAAGAGCAATACCTTCACAGCAACCACTGATACAAAGAAATCTCTTCCCAAAAAACTTAAGGATGTAATATAGACTTTTTAACATTTGATTTTCTTTCTTTTTTATTTTTTTTTTTAATATTTTGGGTAAAAATTATTTGGGGAAGCCATATTTTCAGTAGAGGAGAAAAGTTTTCAGCTATGCAATAATATTATGTACTGTTTTTAAATATATTGTCTAACTGGTTTTGTTTAAGTTTTGGTTTGTTTCTTTTGATTAATGAAAGCATAACAACTGTGGCAGCAGTTTGGAAAAAAACATTTATTAATGGTTTTTCACACTAGAATAGGAGTGAAGTTGAACTAAGCTAGTTTTCAATACCAGGAATATATAATTTATTTTTTCTAATGAAGTGGTGAATTTTTCTATAATATTTTAAAAGTTGGAAAGAAAATATTCATAATTAGGGCCAAATTTTAGTATGTTACTACACAACTACTACAGAGCTATCCATTCTACTGTAGGGTAGCGTGAGGACAGAGGATACATCCATATTGTACATTTTTCAGAGCCTGCTTTGAATCTCAGTAAGGTAGATAGGAATTAGTTCAGAGATCTAGAGTCAGTTTTTTCTCAGCACTTTTTAATATGATTGGAAAACTTAAATACAGCTGGAAACATCCTTTATGACTCTGAGTGGTCTGAAGCTTTCCTTGGTCAACATTTATTCCTTTCATAACCTTAACTTGGAAAGCTTTTGAATTATGAGTTTATGAGAAAGCAGTAATTGTGACATGAATTGGACATAACATCCTTGTGTAAGTCTGTCCTCAGCCTGAGCCACAGGGAAGTAGGAAGAACTGCACCCAGTTTAGGATCTCCCCAGAAGCAGGTCCAGAAGCAGGTCTTTCCATCTTCGCTTTNAGTCTTCTAGAGGAAGATTTGCCTCTTCCTGCAGTAGATGCCTGTGAGAGTTCAGATGGACAAGTACCTTGAAGTGGCATCTGCTTCTTTGCACTGGCTATAAAAGACCTGAGTGGTACCAGGCTAGCAGCAGATGTCCAAATGCCTGTTTGGGTAGTTCTGTGGAAGGACATAGTAGGAAAAGCTGTTACTTTAGTGCTGTAAATACTGGCCAGCATGACAGAGCTGGTGAGGAGATAGGACGAGAAATCTGCACCTGAGTGTGGTTAATAAAGGTTCTGTAGGCATGGTGATGGAGACTGTTGGAATGAACTGGGACTTGGAGTTATGGGTGTCCAATCCTGAGGTCATGGACACTCTAAGCTTTTGTTCCTGCAGATTTCAATTTTTGTGGTCCTAGACTATGTCCACTTAGGAAAATACTCTGTTCAGTCCAAGAGAGAGCTCTTTTTAGGCAACTAGGATCAGCTTTCAGATACAATTTTAATGTACCTGATAAAATAAATAGAGAAGTACAACCGTTAGAGAAACTATAATTAAATAAATAAATGAAAAGAAATTTGACTACCCCAAAATATATATAATTTACAATGGTCAAAGCCAAAATGGAAAAAAGTGAGTCATTTAGCTGTGTAGAAGCTGCATGATACCTGGGGTACATTCTGATGTCATTGTACTGAAATACATCAATATGTGTCAGTCAATGATTGAGTCCTTGGTAAGAAGAGTATGTATAGATATATGCATCTATATATATATATATATATAGATAGATAGATAGATAGATAGATAGATAGATAATTTTCCTTTTGAAGAATTCAGATTAACATCTGGATCAGAGAAATTGACCCAAATTTCTATATCATATCAACAGTAGCCTAAAAATATTCCAGAAAGTATAAAAAGGAAAAAAAAACCACAAATGAGGTTATTGAAGTTTCTATTAATTGTGGGAAGTTTTTTTTTTTTTTTTTTACACTTCTTAATCTGTTCACAGATTATCTGTGAAACTTTAATCTTAGAAGTCTCCAAGCTGTGCAAGTTTTATTCCCGTTGTGATGTCAGAAGTGATCAGATCTGATTGTTACAAAGATCCCACTAAGGAGTTCAGCACTAATTGTTAGAAGATGTCCATGCTTAAAAAAAATTAGGCCAGTGATTGGTACCGTGCTGTTAATTTCATGTACTGTTCAGAGCATGTTTTAATTGTGGCAATCAGGTGTATTTTCTTGGTCAAAAATGTATTGAGGAGCTTTCCTTGGTGTTGCAAAATTTTCTGAGCTGTAAGTGAAACCATTAAGAGCGGTAAGGGTTAATTGTATGGGAAGGCTCATATTCAAATACTTCTCATATACAAAATATATGTCATGCTGGAAAATATTCTATTGTCAATCCAAATAGAGCACAAACTAAAATGAGATAATTGGGAAGGTGCCCATAAAGTCAGCCTGAATATATTATCACAAGTATATGTGAGATAATATTTGTTTTAAAAAGATTCTATGGCACTGTAAACTCAGTCTCATTAGAGACTGCATTTAAAAGGCTTATAAAGTTACTCATTAATGTTATCTTGTTGTATCTCCACAGCTTTTTCATTAAAGAAAATTCAGCAGAAAGCATTTTCTCCTGATAGCAGGAACCAATTTGCAATAAATGTTCTGGAAACCACTAGGGAAGCCATTACTGAGGTCTAATAAAAACAGACAAGCGTAACTTGTTCTATATTTTTGTTTCAATCACATACAGATGAGACCCCGCTCTCCACACCAACCGCAAGAGACAGCCTTGACAAACTTTCTCTAACTGGGCATGGGCAACCACTACCTCCGGGTTTTCCATCTCCTTTTCTATTCCCTGATGGATTGTCCTCCATAGAGACCCTTCTGACTAACATCCAGGTAGGCCTCTTTGTAGATCAGCTTAAAGGGATGGAGAGGAGCCAGTTTTGTCTAAATTAATAAAACCATTCAAGCTTAATCAGTTCATAAGATTATTTGGATCAACTAATTTACTGAAACTTTCTTGTAATTTAGGTTTTAAAGGAACCACAGCAAACAAATGAATTTAGAAGCTGTCAGATACAGTACATAAAAATACGGATTGTATATTAAACCACAGCAGAAAATTCAATGTAAATTACATTGGTGTGTTTAACAACATTTGTCTTCAATGGTCTTTTTATTACAGGCTAATGAAATGTATCTTACTGTTTAACTTTATCTCATTTACTAAACAGAGAAAGAGTTCTTTAATAAATAGTTATTACAAATTGCTAGAGTGGCATGGTGGAAATGATATTTAAAGCTATTTGAAATGTGTCTCCCATAAAAGCATTTACAAATAGCACTTACTTTATAAATAAGCTCATTTCACTTAAAGTATTGTCTTCAAAGAATAGACTTCAAAGGGTATTACCAAATTTTATACAGATTTCCTATTTGGTAGTCACAATGTCTGTTGTGTACAGTAAACCCATGTTCAAATATTATTTATAGTATACATTCTGTATAGCTTGAAGCCAAATTGTTAGTGTTTCATATTAGGATTAAGAAATTTTTTTTGTCCACAAATTCAGTTATCTTGTGTTCCCTATATGCAAATTTTGCAACAATATGGTTGTATGTTTCCTGCAGAAGCAAAATTATAGTGCCAGAAATAATATAGCCATATTGCACATTCCAGAGAAGCTTTGTCTGGGCAGCTACCAACTTCTAATTTGTCATCATATATTTCCTGCTCATTCCTGCAAACACATAAAATCAATTGTATTCTATCCAGCAAATGATATGACAGAGCAGGGCCAAATCCTGCTCACTTTACTGTCTGAAGCAATCTCATTAAAGTTTATGGCACTTCAGAATTGTTTTATGAAAAGTATATGAGCCATTCATTAGTTCTGTTTTGAGATCTAGTAATGGAAAAATACTGCTATTTAAGAAGTAAATATTACTATCTCTGCCTGGTCTGAAAAATCATATTTATGATTACTTTTTGCAGTTCTGAGACTTAGCATCTTAAATATTTAAACCACGAACTGAGATAATTTGATAGCAGCATTCTTGTAACATATCTACTGCAACCTCTAAAGATTGTATTTTTTTCTTAAGGCAGAAATACTGTAAGTAAATTTTTAGCTGTGCATATATGTGCAGAAAAGTTCTTAGTAATTTTTTGACGAATGTCTGCACTCAATGTCTCTAGACAGCAATCTAATGAGCAAAGCATTCAGCATCAACAGGTTAGCTAATCTCGTGATTGAATATGAGAGTGCTGCACTACTTCAGGATAAATAACCAGGATTAATTTGCCAAGAATGAATTCAGTTTTGTTTTACAGAAAATGTGAATGTGAATTTTAGTCATTATTCTTTTTTTAAAATACTCTAATCTTACCTGGAATTAAAAGGTAAAATAAAAGGCAACATCATAAACAAACCAGAAACTTTTATATGCCTTCTTTTGTAGTGCTTTTGAATGTCCTGCTCCTTACCTCGAGATTCCATATCATGAAAAATCATCTATCAGTGTAAAGTGGTCCTTCTGGATGTTTTCAGTAGGTCCATGGTTCTGACAGATTTCTAGGAATCCTTTCATAGCAGTATATGAAAGGCATTTCCCTCCCTCTCCCCTGCTCCAGATTTAATTTTTATCAGGGTAGCATTAGAAATCGACTTCATAAAATAAAAAATAAATAAAACTAGCAGATATTCCCATCTGTGTAGGAAAAGTTGACTTTAACAGCAATAGAGTGTATTACAATATCATATGGACAATAGTGGCAATTTTGATAATCAATGCCATTTAAAATGGTTTCCATATTAGTATTTCATTGCTATTGAAGTGAGAGGAGGTTACCCCATGCCCACAAATGAGTTAGATACTGTGATGCTGACACTTCCAGAACAGAGTTTTAGGTATTTGATTACAAGTTGAAATTTGTTGATGGCATCTGTGGAAAGAGGCAATTCTGTACTATGGACCCTGATTGCACTGTAATTGTGACTTTGCTAGGAAATGCAAAAGCAATACCTGAAATCCATGATGCATTTATTACCTGAATTAGAAGGATTCTTTTCTCTAAATGGCTCCTTGCTGTCCTTTAGACCTGAGGTGTTTTGCATCCCTTTCAGTAGACATGTGTTTTCCACGGGGAGGTGGAGCAGCGTGATCCCTCACTATTCTCTTGTTGCAGCAGTGGAGCAGCTCTAACTTCCTTAAATAGATTGCCAATGACTTCATGAGTGGATTTGGTAAACACTGCTCTTTTTTCCCCAGGGTCATTCATGCTGAAAATAGTTTGTGTCCTTTCATTGAAAGGGTATATGTCTGCTTGTGAAATGTAAGTCTACATTTTTGTTAGGTTGTGGGTCTGGAGAGCACCCACAATGTGCCACATGTCGTGCTGGAGTACATTTTAGGGATGTGATCATCACAGGAATATACAGGCAAGGAACTTCTGGCTGCACCAATGTGCATGGACTTGACGGTGGATGTCTCTGTCCTGGTCCTCTTTTATATATTCAGTTTTGTGGGGGACAGGATCTGGAGGATTTGAATAATACAGACTTCGGGGCCTCCAAAACAGTCCTAGTTTAAAGTAGAACAGGATTAGGGTATCGTATGGGCACTAGAAGCTCTAATTTTGACCTTTGACAGGGTAAAAAGGACCCTAAATCTTGTCATTGGAACGGTGCTTTTCGGATATGCAAACAAAATTTCAAAATATTTTGATATTTGAAAACAAATGTGCTTTAAGTCCTGCAGATGCTGATGAGCTCAGGTGAACTTGTTGCCTAATTGGAATTCTGTTTTAGAAGTCTGAGTCATTTTTTTAGAATTGACCTCTGAGCACGAGTGAGTCTTTTCCATCCGTACTAAAGTTAAATGGATAGCCCCTGATCACGAATTCATAATTTTAGGCAAACTTTAAATAAGCCTATTTGCTTCTGCTGTCACCAATATGTCTTTCTGTATACCATATATATGGTAAATATAAATAGTTCTTTAAGCAAAATATGTTTAATTATTTGTACTTTTAAAGAGGAGATAATAACAATATACAATATCTGGAATAACCACTGTTGTTCTTGATGGGGACTGCTGAAATACAAATTATAAACTCAAAAAAATATAATCAAGCAAATACACACATTAAAAAAGGAATAAGATATTTTCTTATTTGGATTTATATCTGCACATCTAAAAGGAAGAGAAAATAAATTTCCCTGAAGAACTTAAATCAAGTGATTTGTCTGTTTTTTCTGGATTAAATGCTGGAAGTCTAAGTGCAGTTGCAGGGAGGATGAAGGGTGGGGGAAAGTGAGTCACAGCAAAATGCTGTGTATGTGCTAGTGAGAAGGCTAAAGATGTCTCCATACCCCTCACATAAGTATACCTTTTTGAGTCATGGCCTGATTATGCCAAAGTTTGTTACAGCCATGGCCTTTCATGGTGCTACAACATTCTTGGGTAATAGTCATGTTCTTTCAAGCTTTTAGAGTCTGAATCTCTACTGTCCCTGAGCTGAATTTCTATTAATATCTAAGGAAAGATATACTTGCACCATGATAGCTGTATTTTTCTATCAAGACTGTATTATATTGACATATTTTTATTGCTAAATATTTTTAAAGATATACCTAAAATAATTTACGTTTCCTATTGATATTAATAAAAGCAGTGCATGGTTACAAATAAATTCCCTTCTGAAAACAAGGAAAACTACTAGCTTTATTTCTGTGAGTCTCCTGCACTGTTACTATCTATGACTAAATAATAAAAACACTGCAAACGGTGGATAAAGTAAAAAAAAATCCAAATTTTACTTCATGTTATTTTATCTATCTTCTGCTATAATTCAAGAGAATTATTTTATTTTTCATAGAAAGTATTGATGGAAAATATAATTTATACCTGTGTAATATGCCCTTATCTATGATAAAGTATGCAATCTGAGTTATTAAAAATGTTGTCTTTCAGGAGTCATCTCTAGAGATATTCTAGCTGTGTTATCTTGCTCACGATACTTAGTCACTAGTCAGTTATAAATAGCAGATATTAAAAAATTAACGTGAAGTTAACTAGAATTGTATGTATATTTTTTCTAGCACCTTTCACTAGATGCTTTTAATTATTACAGCATACACATTGCATATATTTTCCTGACTAAAAGAGAAGAAATGTTATTTGAAAGTGTTTTCACCATGAATAGCTAATACTGCAGAAAGAAGCTCCTGAGCTGCAACCCTCTGGAAAACAGGAGTTTTGATTAGGAGGACTTCCTAATGTGCATGCTCTGATCTTCTGGTTTCCCCTTTTCACTCAGTGTGGGCAATTGTTGGAAACAGGATATGATCTTCTAGGTAGACTGTCAAACTAATTAGCAAGGTCATTTTGATGTCACATAAAAATGTACAGCCGACTAAATTCTGTTAGATGGAACACACACTTATAGATGCAGTTAGAAAGAGAAGGAGCTTCTATACACCTTCCCCTCCACCCCTTTCAAAATAGGCGACACATTATCTGCATAATTTAAAAATAGTGATGAGTAATACTGGTTTGAAGACTGAGTTGAGGTTTGATATATGTTTAGTTTCTGTAAGATCATGAGGCTGCCTTTATGGTGTTCTCAGATCAGAGAATGGGAAGAAGCTCATATATCAACTTAGCCTTGTGTTTGGGACAGTTCTAAAGTATTTGTCAGTGAAAAATACCAAAACAAGTACAATAAAGTAAACAAATCAGAATGATCTATAAAATCTCCAGGGAATAAAATGTCCATTTTTGACATTACATTGAAATAAAAATTAAGAGAGACACCAAGAAGAATGGCCTGCCATGCTTAAAGCCAGGCTTAAGATAGAGCCATACTGTATAAAAAACAAATCTGGAACCTGAGCATGTTCACTGCAATTATCATTATCCAGCGTCTATAACATCTGACCTTCCCTAAAGAGAAATATTTTCTTTTTGTTAATGTCCCATGTTGCACTGCATTTCCCATTGTCATTGGCAGCATATTGATTTAATATCAGGTTAGAGGATTAGCCATAGCACATACAAGTTGGACATACTGCATTTTGTATAATCTTCTACAGCTGATCCACTGGGAGAATTAATAGAATTTCATGCAACCCTGAAATTGCTATTCCTGTTCCAGGGGGCACTGATGATTTTTTAGATGCTGTACTTTTTTAGTTTTTCTCAGCCACTTCTGCACTGAATAAAGGGAGATATTGAATGTTTCCAGTATTTTTGCATTAGTGCTGTCATTGGCAGCAACAGCACTTTTGATATGCATCAGTTTGGCTCTAGTGCAGACTTTTTTTCACATTGGATGCCTACTGATGTGCACTGATTTAACTTCTAAAAATGAAACTTAATTTTGTGTAGCTTATAAGTAGTCCCTAGTGGATTTTGGCTCCAAAAAGCTAATATTTTTCAGACATAATCAGCAGCAATAGGTAATGTATTACCATTAGCTATGTTAGCAAGTATAAAAAAAGGAAAGACTGGGGGAGGAAGTATGATGCAGAAATTCAATAGAAAATGTAATAATCTTTTAGCAGCTTCATACTTTGCAGCAATTCTTAATATAAAATTACACACATCAGTGTTACACTCTAGTGTTATTCTCCATGTTTATTCATAATGATTGTTTCATATTTAAAGAACACCAAAATATTGTGTTTTCTCAGCCAAGGACAATAATAGTTTAATAGTAATTTATTTCAAACTGCTACTGATAATACAACCAATCAACACATTAAGTGATGCCAACATTGGCATCTTGCTAAATAATCTCTAGGCTTTGCACCGAGAGTACATCTTTCAAAGATAAGTCAACAAGAGCAATCAGAGCAGAAAATTAGAATTTGGTATCTTAGAATTAAAATACAGCTAAACTAAAGTTTTAATTGGGGTGATCTAAAAGGGCACTTGATGTAATGATCTCTTTCATTTGTTACTAATTGTTTGTTCCTGATGAAGAAGAAACATGTACATGAATGTAGTTGAATTGAGTAAAGATGGCAGTTGCTTTAGCAGCTTGATTTTATTGCTAAACAAGATGGATTTTAAGAATTTAGGAAAACAGTGTTTGCAGATTTAAACTTACTAGACAATGCACTTTTCATCAACAAATACTTTTCATGTAATTTTTCTTGATCTGTTTCATTTACGATATCAATGACTTGCATGTTGCAGTAAGTGAGGAATAGGAAATTAAAGCACTCTAGAGTGCAAAACCCAGAAGCAGGTATTGATAAACACCTCCTGCTTCAGTTTCTTACTAATTCAAATGCACCAAATATAGGAGAATATGGCCATGGAAAAGGAAGAGAATTCAAATTATTATTAAATTCTAAAACATAGATTGTAAACACTTTCCAAATATTTCAAATTGTATTTTGCTTTGCATATGTATGTAGAGCTTTATAGGTAGATTTGTTTTTCTCTAATAATCATCCGGGTTTAACATTCAATCCAAAATACTTTTGTGATTTAGCTATTTTACAACAGCAAAAGAAAACTGCTAAAACTTGTGAGGACATTTGTTGTGCTAACATTGTTACCATATTTCCAAACATGGTTTTGTTCTTATTTAGGGTGTACCGTTTTGCTGACCATCTGGGCTTTGCAGTCAGAAGGTGTTGAATTCTTTTAGCTTGTGTGGACTTCAATAGATTGAAGTGTAACAGAGCTGCAGAGCATTAAGCTCTGAACAAAATAAGATTTGAGGCAATGATTTAAGAATATGAGGAGTACTGAAAATAACAGTCTCTGAAAACAGAACTAAAAGAGGTTTTAAGGACACAAACTTTACAGCAATCATTGACACTGGGAAGACCAGTGGGATAAATGTGAAGACTCACAAAACACAAAAATATTTTTTCTGTTTCTGAAGTGTCATTATACTTGCTTCATTTTCCATTCTTCTTTGGGAGATTTTTTTTCACAAAAAATTGTGTAAAAACATGCAACTCAGAATCCAATTTAGGAAATGTTGCTGAGGGGTGAGGAAGCTTATTTGGGAAAGGGGCATCGTGGTTTTATGTCTGTAGTGCTCAAGTCAGGTCTTGAGTGTGAACCTTATATCTGTTAGCTGAATGTTTCCCTACCAGATTCATTGGGGAGCACTGTTCTGTCTCTCTAGTTGGCATTGTTTTGCTTTATATCAGTAATTAAATCTCTGTTGGGTCAAATTATCTCTGTGGTATCTCAAGAGTCTTACCTAGGATATGAGAGAGTTAGTTTCAAATCCATGGAGGTTCATATATGAATATCCATGCTTAATTATCTACTTTATTTTGATAGCTTTAGTAGGAGAGATTTGGGTGTAGACCCAAGAGCCTGATGGCCAGGCTTTTGGGAAAGGGAAAAGGATATTTGCATGTTCATTTATTTAAATTCCATTTCTTCTTATATTTTGATGCCCTGTCTCAGTGTCCTAACTATCTAGTTAATATTATTAATAGTACACAGTTAGCTGTGCCAGGATCATACGATTTCCTTGCAAAAGGAGAAGGAATGTTGAAGTTGGAATTCTCAAAAGAAGATTAAAATAATCTGAATTATTATTTCCTGATACACTAACAAAAGAAAGAAAGGTAGAGTTTGTATCAGCCATCTCAGGTCAAGAAATCAAGAGATAATTGTGTTTCATTTTTCTGCTGTGAGATAATAATCATACAAATCAAGGAGCAGACTTGTTAAAACAGAATGTCTTCCTGCTGTGAACTGCCCTTTCCTTACTATTCCAATATACCTGTAGTTGGTGTAACCTTAATGATATATGTAAATATATGAAATTAATAGTAATTAACTAGGATGAGGAACAAAATGGGAAGACTTAAAAGAGACTTTCTCCTTTAGCTAATTTCCAATGGCTTGAGTAGGACTAGAGATTGAATTCTGTATGTGATGTGACTATGGGATTGCCAATTTTTCTTAACAGAAGTAAACCTATTCCTGTATATTTTTCACATAAGTTATATGCACTGTCAGAGGTGAGTTTGCATTTTCTAAGAAAACCTGACTCCCATCTTTTTACAGATTTTTGTCCACCTGTTGAAAAGTTAATTCCAGTTAAAAATTGCTGTTGATTAGAGGTAACTTTGATCCTGTGACAGAATTATTTTACTTCTAAAATATCACATCACTATCAAGGAAAAATAACAGTAATTAGTTATTATGTCAATTGTTCTAACATTCTCCAAATACGTAACTTTACCTCTGAACAGGGTCTACTAAAGGTTGCTATAGACAATGCCAGAGCTCAAGAGAAACAGGTCCAACTGGAAAAAACAGAGCTGAAGATGGAACTCTTCAGGGAACGAGAACTGAGGGAAACACTTGAAAAACAGTTGGCTGTGGAGCAGAAGAACAGAGGTATCTTGATTAAGCAGACATAAACACCTTTTAATTTATTTCCTTAGGAAACTATTTTCTATCAAACACCTGTGTTTTATCAAAATTTTACCTCCCTTAAATCATGTTAGGTCTCAACTGACTGCAATGAAGGATGTTTTATAACCTGCCTAATTTTGTATAGGATCGTCATGAGACTTGGAGCAAGAGCCCTCCTTTTTCTCAACAATTTTCTTGAATATTGTTACATCAGTAATACAAAAGCAATTATAAATACCTTACATGGTGTAACTGACCTTTGCAGGTTGTGATCATTAGGAAAAGGGATGATTACTTAACGCAAAGACAATTATTTATCAAATTTAAGAATCTGCAAGTTTTTAGGAGCTCTGCTCTGTTCTTATAGTGAATATTTAGGCAAATCGTATGGAATAAATATAAAGATAATGATAATATATGAGCTCTTTATAATGCATAGTAGATAAAATACATATTTGTAGAAGTAAGAATGAAGGTTCTTGATGAAGCAGAAGCAGTAGGAGCATTTGTAGGATTGACATCAGCCCATTGTAAAGCCTGTACATGTTAGAGATTTTAAAATAATTACATTGATAGTGAAGGTGAGGCAGTTTGGAGTGATTTGCATTAACTATTTGCATTACAAGCATGTATCTATCTTTCTTTATGCATTCATTTCTCTGTCTCTGTATGTCTCACCCTTTAATAGTGCCTGATTACTTTGCAAGGACAGTTAACCTCTGGGACTCCCTTGCTGTTTAACTCAGACCATGACAAGTCAGATGTGTATTTTTGTGGGCTAGAGTTACAAGTTTCTTCTTGTCCAATTTAATTTTCTGGTAACCACCTAAACAGAGAATCCCAAGAACAATTGGATTCACAACCAATGTCATTATGCCTTAAACTAACATGCTAGCAGTAAGTACACAATGTAATCTTGTTTCATGCCTTGACCCATTAAAGGGTAGGACTATCACATCATTAATTACCCTTTTTTTAACTTCTGAGAATATATATTGAGAGACAATTGCTGTTAATAATTATCACACCTGTGCAATGAATCATCCCTTATTCCACAACTGGTCCATTCCGCTTAATACAATTATATTATTTGCACTTTTAAAGTAATTTGGTAAAAGAGTAAAGTAATTTGGTTAGTCTTCACGTATTTCTCACAACTGTTCAAATGTATGTTCCTTTTTAGAGTTGTACAATCACATGCAAAACCGAAAAAGTTTGGGGGGGAATCCATCTGACTTTGCTTTAGTTTCACCATCTACAAATTAAGTGTCTCATTTTAATGAGTAGAATTTGCTTTCTGGACAATAAAAAAGGAAACGTGTATAACATGTTCTCAGGTAGGTAGAGTCAATTGCACTGTGAAGTCTTCTTTGTCTTTCCTTTAAATCCAGAGGTCACATGGTTGACTAGGCTGTGCTGGACCTATCATGTTTTGAAAAGATAAGATTAAACAAAATGAATTTCACTTAACATTGTATGTCAGAAAAAAACATGGGAGAGTCCCTTATTTTGTTCAGGTTACTGAAATAATTGGCAATATTATTTTCAGCATGATGCATTACCTGCTTTTGTGTATGCATTCCTCTAATGACGATCTTGCACTGGGAAAACAGTAAGACCAAAGAGGAATGGATTTGAACAGTTAATGGTGGTGTGCAGCAAACCAAATATAATGAGGATGACTATCTCTGCTAGTGGATACTTCTGTATAAAAGAAAGAAAAGTATAGATTATTCTTTCAAATAAACAGATCGAAGTAAGAGAGAAAAAATAAGACCAGGTTGTAATTATTGTGAAAATTTATTCTTCAGTTAAAGGCAGAAAAATGTGTGGGAGCCTTTGGAGCCTTTATCTACTATTAGTTTTTTAGAGGGTGAGTGTCATGTTGTAAAGAGAGTTTCACATGTCTTAATGGAAGCATGAGCATGAAGGGAGAAATGTACCAGATTCCCTGCTAGGTGAAGAGATATCATATGAAAATACTGAAAAACACTTAAAAGCTACAGCATAGAAGCACAAGCCACTGCATGACATGCAGGTCAAACCCTTTATTTGAAGGGGATCTTCAGCATTAGGCAAAATCTATCTATTTTTTGCTATAGATTAATATTTTTTCCTTTTTAAATGGAGCGTTGGATTCACGGCTGCTGCTGTATGTTCTACAGAGCTGCTTATTTTCTGTACTGTTTCCTTCCTTCTTTTTAAATTTTCCAATTAGTGATTCCTAAGGCTGTAGGATGTGTCTCATCAACTGGTGAAAGTAGGATAATATCTCTTCTGTGAGCAGCTACACAGTAAGGGTTTGCTAATTCTGGCTCTGACTGCTGTAGTCACATCTACAATGTGTCAGCCATGATGACATTTTAATTCAGAAAGCAACATATGTTTCCTTCTCATTTATTGCAATCACTTTCAAAGTACTTATAATGAAAACATTAAAACCATGCAATGATTCAAAATGTATTTAGTTTAGCCTTTGTATAGATGCTGGATGTTCTTTGATAGCATGAGGTAATTAGCCTGTAAAGTAGTTGGTGTTGTACAAAATGAGAAAGAACCAAAATTCCGAAGTCTTGGATGTAAATTATGTAGTTATTCTGACTACAGGATATGTGCTTATGTTAATTTTGTGCCTGAACAGTTCTGTATAGCAGCACAAAATATACAAGATCATCTAAAAGGTGGTTCTTCTTAGCATATAAATTAAAGGGTAATAACAATGACAATTCCCTTTAAAAGTTTCATTATTTGCATTTTGTGAAAGATATCACCATTACAGTCTACTGTCCCTGGGGAGTATGAACTGGTGGAAGTATATTTTTGTGTTTTCCAGCATTCATTCCTAAGCATACACCAGAGGTTACTTTGCAGTTAGATACAGGGCTAGAATGATCTTGACATGCAAACCTAACAGATCCTAGTATATGGGTTTGGTAAGGATAATTCTTTTGGTGTGTATAAATAATTCTTTAGTGACTAGTTTAGTAGATAATTTTTTAGTTAGTGTCAAAATAACAGAATCTCCTGGAGAGGATTATCCAGGAAGATCTTGGGACAAAAAGCTTTTTACGTGCACATCCATGAAAACCCCAAATGTGCTGTTTAAGAACGGTTGGGGTGTGGTGGGGGAGATAATGCCATGCTTTTCAACTTTACATGATTGCTTCAGAGGCCCACTTGGGTTTTAATGGAGTAGAAAAGGTGGTTACCCTTTTCCATCAGGAGCATAACTTGTAATATGTTCCCTTAGCTAGGGATCCTGCAAGTCTTACCTGTGTGGTTGTAAGTCACTGGTAACATAGAAAAGAAAATTGTGATGAAGTCCCATAGCGGACTTGCCATCCTTTCCCTACAGAGTTTAAGCTGAAGAGATTCAAGGGAAACATTTATTCTAAATAAGGACTTTATAGATTTATTTTCAAAATAGTCATTTCTTTACTAATATTTTCCTTCACATTTGACAAAGCATAGTAATATTTACTTGACTGGAGAATCCAGCACCATAAAGGATTTGCTGTGAGTTCTTCAAGGTTAGATGGCTGATGGTACAGGTATACCAACAGAAAGCAAGAAAGAGAAAAGGGAAAGATAAAAGGAAAATGTGGAAAATAAATAAATATTGAGAAGAGGCCAGGCACCAAGAGGTCAGATGGCTTGCAGAAAGCAGACCTTGGAGGGGATTTGGAAGTCTCAGGGCCTTTCCTCAAGAGATGAGGACCAGAGCAGAGTGGGGGCTGCCCAGGACCCAGGCAGATGAATTCCCCTCTTATGCAAGAGAAGCTGCAGGGTTGCAAGAACTCCATCACCATGTGGCTACTAACTGTGTTATGGGAAATAGAAATGGTGAAATTAATTCTGAAAAATGCCCCACCTCCAGAGACTAGGGCTTATCTATATCAGATGATTCAAAAAGTACATTCCATTGCTGGTTTCCGAGGTTTTCTGATTTGAAAATTCAGATTCTCAACTGTTCATTAAAAAAAAAAAAAAAAAAAGGAATTGCTTTATACCACATACAGTTTGCAATACTGTCACATACTGTCATATAGGCCAGTAGTTTTTAGAATATTCCAGGATGATTCCAACATATTTCAAGTAATCCAAATGGTTATTGTGTAATTAATCAGTTTATATGAACATTGCGGTTATAGTGTTTCTCAGAACCCTTAATAGGTCATCGTGCAGCCAAATTTCAATGCAAACTGGAGTACAATGATGTTATTTTCTTTTCACAGCAATAATTCAGAAAAGGCTAAAGAAGGAAAAGAAGGCAAAGAGGAAATTGCAGGAAGCACTTGAATTTGAGACTAAACGACGAGAGCAAGCAGAGCAAACACTGAAACAGGCAGCTTCAACAGATAGTCTCAGGGTCCTAAATGGTGAGAAGCCAATTTTTGCCTCTGTGTCATTAACTTTCTATTTAAGTGCCAAAAGAATCTTGTTATATTGCAAATTTATAACATGATGGAAAGGAAAAAAAAAGAAAATCTCTATTCTTTCCTTCATTCAAATGATACCTCTCTCTTTATTGCTTTGTTACTTTATATAGTATGCGCAAATAAACTCACTGGAGAGAATGCTCAAACTAGGACAATTTTATATTATTAGCTTGAGAAGTCAATTTTTTCTTCCTTTTTTTCTTCCCCCCCCCTTTATGCTTGAAAAATCTATTGCTCATTAATCTTCCCAGTCTAACAAAAAATTGTCCTGGCCTCCAGTCATTGTTCAACATTAAAAACACTGACAAAGGTTGATTGTATTGTAATTCAGCATTGGAGTAACAGGTTGTAAAAAGGGCTATAAGAATCAAATGAAATATGTGTCAGTCTTACCTTTCTATGTTTCCAGACTCTCTGACCCCAGAGATAGAAGCTGACCGCAGCGGGGGCAGAACAGATGCTGAAAGGACAATACAAGGTAGGAATTTGCAAAAGGCTATAAATCTAGATCTTGCTATATGAGTTTTTCCTCAGCTTTAGACTGCTATTCAAGCATGTAGCCTACCATCTGGGCCACATCAAAACAAGTTCAAACAAGGTCAAGTTCATCTTGCTTGTTTATAAGAGAGAATACATTCTGTGCTGATAGATTTTCTTTAAATTAATAGGTCATTTCTGTTTATACAGAGCAATTAAAGAAGAATAATGAATTTGAAGCAGTATTGGGCTAAATCTCAGACATGCTGAATGCAGTTTTTGTGAATATGTGTAGTTTGATTTGAGTTAATAATGTTTTTAAAGGTATATTTGAAACATCTTGAGCCTTTTAACTGTACAAATAGCTAAACCTAATGGGTAACATTCAAGACATGATGAGAATTTCATAGCTAATAATCAGTGGCAGTTACTGAAAGGTGTGTTTCAATAAGCTACTCTGAGCATTAACAATAAATAAGCTGTTTATTCCCATCTTGGATTTTTCATTTACCACATCCCATTATTTACATTTTAATAAAACAAATCTGCTGAGTAAATTTATACATGAAATACTAAAGAGAGCAATATTACTTCCTCCGTGAATCTAAATGTACATATACATTGCAAACATCAAGATATTAGTAAAGAGCAAATTTTGAAGACAGTATTTATGTTATAATATCTATTCTTATCAACAGGCTAAATCTACCTACATGAATACTAAGCAATAAAAATAGCAATTGTTTTCAATGGTAAATGAAGGTGCATTTTTCAGAGGCAAGCCTAAAAGGATTAGCTCCAGTAATCACACTCAATTGCCTTTATTTTACATTTTGAAGTCAATCTTCCTAACAGTATCATTTGACATCTTCTGTGTGTTATTTAATCATATTTCCTAACTTCCAAGGAGTTGTTACTGGAGTGCCACAAGGAGGCTCTAACAACAGAATAAAAAAGTCAGGAAGCTTTTAACGGATTGAACATGTAAACAAATCCAAAAATGCAATAAGTTCTTATGAAAGACAAGCACACATATATAAACAAAGACATTTAAAGCAAGTTATGTCTGCAAAGTCAATAACACAGAAGCTGGAATATGCCAGATTAAATGTTGCCTGTGAAGTGAATACATGTTATGAGGTCTGTTACCCCAGAATCTTGCCTTCCTTCCTGTAAAACATGTATGTTATTCAAAGCACCATTTGATATAATTAATTTGGTAAGAATTCATCCACTATTTCATTTTTTTTAATAATCCAGATTTTTTTACCTCTTTTGATGCTAAAACAGACGTCTAATTTCTTGGGGCGCCCTGCAGCTGCACCAGTCACTGCAGTACTTGCACTCATTGCAAACATTAATTGCTACATCTTCAGAGCATTCTTGCAAGGAAGTGAAATTTGGAGTATTCCAATTTGATAGCTGGGAAACAGAGTCAAATACATTTTAAGACGACATTTTGCTTCACTGTCAAGTATCAAGGACGTAATTTTTAGAATAATTTGCATTTTTGGCAGAAGCATTCAGATATAATCAAATCACTGTTCCTGTTGAATTCAGTCTTGCTCATAGGCTAAAGTATCAGGTTGGATATTTGTAATATAAACAACACAAATTTGAAAGCATGTTTTCTAAAGATTTTATCCCAAATTATATAGGGACAGCACTTTGGTTTTTGAACAATGATTCTGCATTCTTTCCCAGCTATCCTCTGCTCCTTTCATATATTTCCATTTTTTGCAATAAGTGAAATCAAGGATTTACATGAGATATTCTCAGTAATGACTTTTCCTTGATTCATCTGTCCAAGGTGATGCACATTAAAAACAAAACTAAAATCCACAGATGATTATTTAGTTCAAGACTGGACCATGATATTTTCTGATTGTGATACTGAATTATATTGCAAAGGCAACCTTAATTCTGACATTTCCTATATCTACTTTGCATTCTCAACAGAGTAGAGAGGGTTTTTAAGAAAAAGGAAAGAAGAAGCAAGAAATACAGTTTTCATTATTTGCAGTTTAATGTATTCAGCTCAATCATCATACAGCAGTTCAGAACTTTTTGATCTACTGCAATACAACAGTATTACACAAATGTAATTGTAGGAACATATTGTCAATGTAAATAAGTCATTATAGGGTGACAGGCTTCAGAAATAGTTCAAGAAACAGTTAATAGCAGGCAAGTCATGCCAAATATCAAATATCTTTGTGTTCATTTCTAATATTGGAAGGAAGACTTCCTTTCACCATAAACTCCCTTTTCTCTGTGTCCCCCTTGCTATGTATCCCTGTGTCTGTCCCAGTTCCTTCTTCTTTCTTCCTCCTCCCTCCAATCCCACCTTTTGTCATTTGCTAATCTGACTTTTTTCCTTGTGCTACATTACATTGCTCTTCTTTTTTCCCAACTTCACATTCTTCCAGCATTCTCTTCTGAGCTTAGTTTCATGCTACCCTGATTATTTCCTTAATTACAAGCTCGTTCTCTCTCTGTGACCCCCAGCCCCTGACTCTGTCTGACCCTTCCTGTTGCCTCCTGGCCATACCCAATCATTTCAAGACATTCCCTGTTACCAGCCTTCCCTGTTGCAAACCACATCTCCATCTGTAGTGTCTGCTTCCCCCGTCTCCCTGGTCAGGCTCACTCTCCCTGCTGGTTTCAGTACATTTCTGTTTCTTTTTGTGTACCTGCCTGGATATCAGGGAGGGAAGCACTCAGAGCATTCTGTTCCAATTTCTGTATTTAGCATGACAATTGTAGGCAGGAGTGAGGAGAAAGAATTGCAGGGAAAGAACCTCTTTATTCCTGCAGCACTGGAGTAAAGCATGCTCAGTACAGATGAGACCCTTTGCCTGTAAAACTCTACTTTCCAACGGTTGAAACATTTTCCAGTATTTTCTTGGATTTTGTTTGGGGCAACAAAGACCATATTGTCACAATTGTACAAGATTTCAATTGTGTCCTTACATTTTATTTGTAAATGATATTTTGTATACTTTGGTATGCACTATAGAAGAAATATCATATACAAATATTAATTATATTATTCTATATACAATATATTCCATAATTTAAAAAATGATACGACCTCTTGCATCTTTCAGATTCTGGGGAATAATACGTAGTAGGGAAATACTTTCTTACTCCTCTCAAAAATATATCTGTGTCTCAGTATCTAAGCACGCCTGGGGTAATAGTCTTTTTATCCACAATCATTTTTCAATTTACTGTGTTGAGCATGCTATGTAGTTCTATAACTGACAAACAAAGGTAGAAAAGCAGCAGTGCTCTGTAGGGAAGTGATATAATTGAAATACAAAGTGTAATTTCAGCATTTAAGAAAATATTATGCAAGAAAATATTAATTGAAACTAAAGATTTTGTTTACTATTTATTATAAGTAAATGGATACTTGTCAACTTGAAGTTATAGCTAATGTTGCTATTTTTAAGTATCACTTTGAAGACTAAGAAATAGGACTAATTTAAGCATAGAAGATAATTGCATTTGTCAATAAGGGGGTATGTTCTGTTCTATTTTTTCATCGTGTAGCACTCATTTAGATTCACTTTTAGTGCATGTGAAGTCTTTTGTAAAATGGGAGCAATAATAAAAGGGAATTTGAATACAAGACTATAAAAAGAAGCAATGCAGGGTATTTTAGGGTTGTGTTTGAGTTTTTTAAATACTGAGTAGATAACAGTTTGCTGCAATATCCATAAAATGTTAACAAATAATCATAATAAATAACTCAAATTTGGGTCTCAGATGTACTTTTGTATTTTTTTGAGTGATAGAAAGAGATACTAAGCTATTAGGAACTGGTGAAGACACTGGTTTTAAATGTTTTCTTTGCTTCTGTTTTAAATAATAATAAAGCAGATTATCCTCTTCTCCATACATATTGTAGGTTCACTAGATGCCTATGCCTAGCTCCCAATCCGGTTTCCCAAGACCCCCTCATCCCACACAAAAAGGTACCATACAAAGATAATGTTTGACTTTTATATACTGTTTTGTTAACAGACCTCTTACTAAGCACTAGATCAATGACATTTACTGCTGCATTTACTTTCTTATTTCCATTGATATTTTTCTTTTCCATCTGGTTGCTTACCATGTATTTGCCTGCCTACATTATTATGTTTTCTTTTCCTCTATATAGCCCATATTCCAAATTTTCTATATCCCAGTAGTTTCCCTCCCAAGTCCTGTACCTTCATTTTCATTCTATTTAAACACCAATCACTTTACACATTATCTAAAGTCTCTAAAAGACTGCACCATCTTCACCATTGACCACGCTTTCCTTGTCATGTTCCTGTCATGTGTTCCTTTTCCCAAATTGCTCACAAGTGGTTTTATACTTTTGTCCCAAAGCTATCCTGGTAAGAAGAGGAAGATTAATCAATTTTTCCCTCTTTATGCTGCTATTTTTTTCCATTTTTTATTTTATTTTTCCATTTATTTTAAATTTACTAGCAATTGCCTCAGCTTGTGCCTTTTCTGCTTTCTTCCAAATTATTTCCAACTTCTGCATGCCATCATGCTCCTGAAATCAGCTCCATCATTTTCTCCTAAGTCTTCTTACCCTGCTCAGTTCCCCAGTTCTCAGATCTATGTGTATTTTTCCCCTAAATGTTTGTTTTTCTGTGTTCTCAAAGTTCTTCCATCCTGATCATTCTCAATCAATTTTTTTCCTCAGCTATGCATTCTCCTGTAGCAGAAAATTTATCCTCCCTGTCCATTGGTTAAATTTTCATACCTCAGTTCCTTATTCTGCTGCAAATATAATTCTTTTCTTCTAGCACATTATCAGCTTTTTTCCAGATGTGTCTGTTATCTACTCTCCCTGTCCTTTAGCACAATGAACTCACCCTTTCTAAGCCCTTTCCCACTGACGTCTTCCTTTTCTTTAGTTCTCCACCCCTTCTCTAGGCTCGAATTAAAAATTCAGTTAAGTGTAATGCTAAGTGGATTCATATTATACCTTCC